TACTGATACCGGGTAAGCATGCACCGGGTAATGATATTGATGTCTACTTAGAGCCCTTAATTGATGAGCTAAAACAGTTATGGTCGGAGGGTATGTTGATATATGATGCCCATGCTAAAGAGTCATTTAGACTTCGTGCTATCCTAATGTGGAATCTTTCTGGTTGGTCTACAAAAGGCAAGTTTGCTTGTCCAGTATGTGGCCCAGAATTTGAAGGCCTTCACTTACACTATAGTCGAAAGTGTTGTTATTGGTTCAACAGGAGATGGTTGCCCTCGGGCCACAAATACAGAAAATGGAGCAATAAGTTTGACGGCACTGTTGAGACTAGGAATAAACCACGTCAAATGACCGGTGCTTATATTGTAAAGTTGCTTGAGCATCTTCCTAAAATTAGATTTGGTAAGAACCGATATTCTAAGTATGACTCACTCAAAGTTAGAGGCTCCGGTAAAAAGAAAAAGACACTGAAGAGGAAGAGAGCATTCCAACGGGCACATGTTGATAATGGAGTCGATAAATTACCAAAGGGATGGAGTAAATTCAGTATCTTCTTCCAACTGCCATACTGGCAAAAGCTTAAAATCAGGCATAACTTGGATGTCATGCATATTGAGAAAAATATTTGCGACAACATAGTTTCAACCCTCCTTCAAGATCCTAATAAGTCAAAGGATGACCTAAGGGCTCGACAAGACATAGCTGCATTGAATATCCAGGAAGATTTACAAGCACAAGATGTTGGACTTAAGAAAAAACATAAGCCTTCCTCTCATGTTACGATGTCGACCGAGCAGATGTAGAGATTTTGTGAGGTCCTCAAATCAGTAAAATCACCGGATGAGTATTCAGCTAATATATCAAATAATGTCCAGGTGCAGGAGAGGGAGCTCTTAGGCCTAAAGACCCATGATTATCACGTTCTTCTACATCAATTGCTCCCGATTGCATTGCGTAATAATATGGAGAAAGAAGCATCGAAAATTATTATGGAGTATTGTGGGTTCTTCAGAAAATTGTGCTCAAAAGTTATAGATGTGAAGGAATTTAAAAAGCTTGAAACAGAAATATCATTAATTTTGTGCAACCTGGAGTTAATTTTTCCTCCTTCCTTTTTCACGGTCATGGTCCATGTTACTCAACATCTAGCTAGCGAGGCAATCATTGCGGGTCTTGTATCTTACCGTTGGATGTACCCAATTGAGAGGTAAGGGACTTCACCCAGTGCATTAATTTCATATGCAATGTATACAGCTAATATTAATCATATTCATGATTTTCTTTAGATTAGATATTTGTAGTTCATAAAATTTTAATTATTGTAGATATTTGGGGTTTATGAAGCATCTAGTTCGCAATCGAGCTCATCCAAAGGGTTCTATGGCTGAAGGTTACGTGACCAACGAATGTCATACATTTGCATCATGTTACATGTGCAACCGCGTAAAAGCTGATCAGCCCCTAACTAAGGAGAAGAAACTCGTAAAATATCTAAGATCTGACTTGGCGCAGGTTCATGCATATGTATTGAATAATCTAGACATTTTCAGCGATTATCGAAGGTAATGTACATTAATTTAGGAATAGGATGACACTTGTATTATTTACATTCATTGTACCAATACAATCTCATTGTTGTATAAATAGGCGACATTTGGAGAAGCTTAACAATGAAATAACAGGCAGGAGTGCAGCACATGATATCCAAAAAAAACACACCAAAGATTTTCCCGATTGGTTCAGAACCGATGTAAGTAGCGTAGAAGTAGTATTGTATTTTTTATTTTTAAATTTTTAAGCAAACTCGGAGATCATTTTATTCAATTGATGCTTGAATTAGGTTGATAAAGACGTTCTCGCTGGTGCCGTAATCTCTGAAGATATTTTAGTTCACACACAATGTCCTTACTATGAAGTGAGACAATATAGTGAACACATCATTAATGGGTATATGTTTAAAACAGTGGCTACCGATGATAAGAGGGTAACGTAAAATAGTGGGGTCATGGTCTGTTTTGCTCAGGAATGTTTTTCTAGCATAAGAGATCAAAACCCAGTTGAAGCTGACATCTTATATTATGGCCAGTTGGAAGATATGGTAGAGATAATTTACGGCTATGGTAAAAAAATTCAGCGTAATTATTGCATGTTTAAGGTTCGCTGGAGTCCTACCAAACCGCGTAAGGATCATTATGGGTTTACACTAGTAAACCTCGACAAAGAGATATATCTAGATGAGAAGTTCATATTCGCAGAACAGGCGGACCAGTGCTTCTATGTGAAAGACCCAAAGGTTGCCGCCGATTGGGTCGTGCTATACCAGGAGCCAAGATCTATTGCCCTCCTTAATAATAACGCCGATAGTGATGAGGACAATGAACCAATTGGTTCTCCTGATGAAATTTGGCAGATGTTCTCTTACCCTCAGAATGTCATGCTTGTCATGACAAATGCGGAGATTCACGCTGACAACCCAATTTTAGTCAGGGATAGAGAACCAGAGGCAGATGTGCAACTAGAATCAACTACTAGTAGACGAAAGCAGGCAACATTAAATATAGCCCGAGCAATACAAACAATACCTCGTTCAATACGAAAATAGCAAGTTGTAGAAGGTATATTATGTATGTCATTTTGTGCGCGAATGTTATTGAAATGTTTAATTGTAATAAATGTTTATCTTGTGAATTAATAGACAAATATTTCGTATTGAACTCTCCTAATTCCATATTACAGATGAAGAACTCGAGGTTTTTTGATTGATTTCGTGATCGGTCACGATCTACGAGCCTAGGCTGAGAACAGCTTCAGGAGGCCCTAGGCTTAGAACAGCTTCTAGAGGCACACATTTCAGCACATCCGGATATAGGTATGAATTTCTATTATCTTTGTACAACTCAAAGTAGACATATGACACATCATTTAGGCTAAGTTGTTTTTATATGGGTAGATGATGCGGAATTATCAGGCCGTCTACGGGACACAACTCTAGCATTCTCGCCTCATATAGGTATTAATCATATATGTGTTTGTAATATTTATTTAATCATATTTAAAGTCCAGCTTTTGTATTTAAAATCTATTGTATGTACGCAATATTAATTTTTATTTGCATAGATAATTTGGCAGGCATTGATTATTCTTCACCCGGAGCCACTGATTCACATGCAGAGCCCTCCCACACTACAGATAATGGTGTCGCAATATATTTATTTTTGCTTTGCATCTCAATATAATGATCTTCCAATTTTCTCGTATTGATTATCTTCTTTAATCGTTGTAGAGGGTTCTTGGACACCATCGTCTTCGCATCATACGCAGGTGGCCGAGTTGCGTTCGTGGACCCCTGACATCCCCCATCTACCATTGCCTCCAGACTCGATCATATCAAAGACTAATGCTTTGAAGTTTCATCCACTTGCACTCAAAAGGCTAGATGAACTAAAGCCTATGATAACCGTTAGAAAGAAAGTTGCAACCGAAGCGATGGATATAGAAGTGGCGAGAGGTAAATTTAATAATTTTGAGTAATTGTTTTCGCCTTTTCACTACGTAACTTATGATGTCAATGTAGGGGCAAAGCGAGATGCAACTGGACCAGGAGGACGTGGTGGAAGCAAGCCTGATTTCAAACAGGCACCGAGAGGCTTTCGGGGAATTCTTTAGTGGGTTGATAGCTTGCCGATCGGCCCGTGCGCAAAAAAATTTAATAATTACATCAGCGTTTTAGTACGGAGGGCCCAAGTCATAAACCCATACTTCAAATTCAAGGAGCTTCCGTGGTCCGCATACGAGGATATATGGAGAGAGTTGATGGTATATGATCATTACTTCTTTGATTTTTTTTTGATATAGAATACATTTACAAAATGCATAGATATCTTATATTTTTACATGCAAAATTGTAGAAATACTATTGTCTTGAGGACTACCCTGGGGTGTGGCACTATGTCTTCAATATCAAAGTTGAGGTCGTGCTCAAACAGTGGCGACATGAGGTGAAGGTTCATACATATGATAAATATACCCAAGATTGGCAGAGATTTTTAAATCTCGATGAGAGGGTGGATCTCGATCATTTCACGGCTTTTCTTTTTTATTGGGATACCGAGTCTGCACAGGTATGAGTACATTATCAGGTTGCGTACAAAAGCATATTGTAAATGCAATTCATTTTTAACACCTTTTTTTTGTAGGATAAATCTAAGAAGGGCTCAACGAACCGACATAGCAAGCGGAAGCTTGACCACCACTTGGGATCGACGTCCTTTGCTAATCTTGAGTATAGTTATTGTCGAGACACGGTATAATATTTACGTTGTTGTATTCACATGCTACAACCTTCAATATGACCAAACTTTTCGACATTTACTATTATATTTTGTAGGGGAAGCCCATAATGCTGATCAATTTGAAGGCGAAGTTAGCTTACAGGACCTTTCACTCAACATATAAAATGAAGACAAGATTAAAGAAAACATGGTTTTGGTGGTAATTATTTTTCAATAAATCATTAAATAATAACTATTACGTTTTTGTACATTTCATTAATTAATAGTTTAAACTGTTGTACTTTGAAATCAGGCTTCTTAAAAAAATTCACATTTCCACCCACGCTTTTTACAGGGCAACATTCATTATTTGAAAAATCAATATATATCTTTTTTTCTTATGTGATTTAAGCTAATATTGCTGCCGCGTCGAAGAATGCAGCACTACGTGCTACCCAAGAAGCTGCTGATGACCCTCATGTCTTGTCTAGAGAGGAAAATAATGCCATTGCAATGAATGTGATGGGGTATAATAACCGGGGCAGATTTCCATTGATGGGGGTTGGAGCTCAGCGAGGTACCTCCAGATTATCCTCCACGGCATCCTCGACAGCCTCGACTGTAACAACATCATCAGACAGAACCCTTACATCTTCTACAATTATGCGCGTCAACCGTTATCTGTGCGGTAAGATCGACCATACATTACTCATACAGGTGACGGCGGCTATGTGTTCAGATTTTCCTCCATCCCCTACTAGCGTCGATGTTTTTACACACATCGTTTTATGCTTGTCCGGGAAGATTTCAGCTGAATTATTTGAAGAAGTTTTGGACCAATTAGATTTAGACGTTGGCGCACAGGTAAATTACAGACAAGCAATTATTTTGTTGAATTTCATTCTCTAAATATAAATCTATTTATTTTCAGGCTGGACTTGCTGGAGGAAGCAGTAGTGGCGTGCAGAGGAGGGAACTTGACGATGATGAGGACTCTTGATTTTATGAGGTAAGTTAGTTAATTGTATGTGTGTATGTGTGTATGTGTCTTGTGCAAATATGATATTTTATGCGCTTAAATGTTGATACTTGATTGTATGCATGGGGTGTTAAAAGAACAGGATTCAGATTTGGATTTACATGCTCTGTGGATTTATAATATGAGATGTAATTTATCACTGACGGTGTTTTGGAAGTCACACTCATTATATTCAGGTTTGGGCGGTGTTTTGGAAATGGGATTAGGTGATTTATTTCACCACTGAGGGGGGTCTGTTGTCAATTATTCAAATTTTGGGATATTGATCTATGCCTTTTTCAGGTTGAGATTTGTATAGATATTTTATTTTCATAGCTGATGTTGCTTCATTGAAACCTTATTAATGAAACGGTGAGGATTATATCCTAAATGGGTGTATGCATCTCAAAACAGACTCTTATTTCAGCAGCACACTTGCATTGCCTGTGCAGTCGTCGTTGTTACTACTACTACTACTACTACCGCCCTTTGCCTGCTTTTTTTTTTTGAGAGAAAACAAGGGATATACCCTGTCATTTGTATTAATCAAAAATATAGATACAAAAGAAGGATACAAAATGTATCCAAGTATTGGAAGATAGAAATGATGGTTTCTCAATACTAGTGATATATGACCTTCTTCTATCAAACATCCATGAAGGTGAAGAGAGGGCCTTGCCGTCATTCACCGTTTACATAGATATAAGAGAGAACCAAAGCCAACCATATATATAGTAATAAGAAACTAAAATTTCTATAGCCCAATATAAAACAAAAGCTAAGATTACAAAAGTAATTTATATACTGCTAGAACCAAAATATAAAAACACAGTCCCTTCTATGTGCTCCTTTGAATCGGCTTTTCCTCTAACTTTGCTTTGACCTTGTATGCTGCTGCTCCATAACCATAACCTATCCAGTCATTCAAACCCGATATTGCCAAGTTAATAATTGAATTGATAGAAAAATGAACTTGATCAAAAATGATTCTATTTCTCCATGACCATATGCTCTAGCAGACTGATGCAAATATGCACCTCCAAAGAGAACCATCCGTCCCTCTCTGATCTTCCAGTATATACATTAGCTTATCCAAAGTATTTGGCCATAAGAAAGGTAAGAAGTAGCACATAAAGTGTTGCCTTATCCAAAGTATTTGGCCATAAGAAAGGTAAGAAGTAGCACATAAAGTGTTGCCAAACTCTCTTAGATACTGGACATAAAAAGAACAAAAGCACATAAAGTGTTGCCAAACTCTCTTAGATACTGGACATAAAAAGAACAAATGTTCTCTAGATTCCGGTTCAATTCCACAAAAAGAACAGATAACGTCACCATTCCAGCCTTTTAATTGTAAATTCTCCTTTGTATGCAGCTTGTTATGCGAAAGAAGCCAGAGGAAAATACGAACTTTAGAGGGGATAATTGTATTCCAAATAACTTTGTGTAAAGGATAAATGACACCTCTCTGAATAAGAAAGTTGTAAAGAGATCTGACAGAGAATTGACTATTAGAAGCGAGAGACCATTGGGGTTGATCACAATTTGTTGGAACAATATGGAAGTTCCTGATAAGATTCAAAAGAGAAATTTTTTCAGCTTGAGCATTAGGATGAACACTTCTCCTACACAACAAATGCTAGCGCCATTCATGAGCATTAGAAAGACCCTGGCTCCTGACAGTGGCATTGTGGGAAAGGGCTAGCTTATATGATTCAGGAAAGACACTTGCCAAACTATTAGAACCAGTCCATTTATCTTCCCAAAATCTTATATTATCTCCTGAACCTATATTCCATTTATGTTATGGCAAAAAGCATCTTTCTGAGATAAGACAGCATTCCAAAATGATGAAAAAGATGATTTATAAAGACTGGTTTGCAGATTAGTATGACCGAGAGCATAGAGGTTATGGAGAAAATTGCCTGTGGATGAGTCTCTATCTAGGCACTGTTCGCTCGAAAAATCGTTGCTTTCTTCATCATTGATTCCATTGCTATCTTGAATAACAGTTTTTTCGGTTACAGAAGATCCGGTCTTTTTTAGATCCGGTTACAATGAAAATCAAAAATAAAGAAAATTAAAGATTACAACTTTTTCTCCTTCGTCGAACAAATCGCGAGCTCCTGTTATTCGGTCACTCGCTTGGGTGGGTTGTTTGCCTGCGCCGGGGTTGTTTGCTGTGGACCACCGCGTGATCTAGATCCGAACAGATCTACGCAGTATAACGGGTATGATTTCACTAAGGAAATAATAGCCGGAGGGATTATTTCACTAAGGAAACAATCGCTCGAATCTCGGGATCAAAGACCAAGCTTTGATCCGGAGTGTAACAACGTAGATCTGAGATCTTAATCCCCTCGAACTCCTACCTATTTGTGATGCGGGTGCTCGCCGAGAATCAGATCCGAACGTCCAAGTCTTCAAGCCTTCAAAAACTCCAAGATGAGGTCTCAATCCGGTAGAGTTTCGGCTCTCCAAAAGTTCTTCCAAAAAGTCCTCCCAAATGATGAATGACCCTGCCTATTTATAGGCAACCAGATCTGTGCATTTGGCACAGATCTGGGCGGCCACCTCAAGGTGGCTCGGCTCATGCCGAGCCCCCCTGAGGTTGTGGGTTTGCTGTTTTCCGCGGCCAAGCCCCTCCGGGTTTTGCGTCCGTCGTTCGGTTGTTTCGGTCTTTGTATCCGCTTCGTCCGTGATTCGGTTATACGGTTGATTGGTCTGAAATTGATTCGTTGACTTGATTCCTGATTTGGCAATAAATCCGACTCTGAGTTTGATTCCAAAACTGATCATGACGCGATCACGATTCATCCGGGTTCGCCTGTGGCGTTGCTCTGAACCCCGATTTGTTCTGAATCCTAATTTGGAAGTCTGGATCCCGATTAGGCAGTAAATCGGCTTTCGTGTCTGAGTTCGAGTCCGTTATATGGTTGGATGACTCGTTGACTCCCTGGACCGTTGGTTTGATTCCTCACGCGAGTGGATTCATTCCGTCGTTCACGTGCGGTTCGTCAGCTTCGTAGCCTTGTTAATCCGCTTCATTGCGTGTCACTTGGCTTCGGTGTTGTGGACTGACGTTCGTGCTTAGATACGTCGCCCGATGGTTCATTAGTTCGTGTTGAGCCGTGTTAAGGGACCTATAAGCAATTTTATATGCCTACAGATACCCCCTCCAAAGTTTTCCAGTCTCGTTCTTTTATAGAAGAGTCTGGAATACTTTGGATATGACTGTCCCAACCTTCAATCGGTGTAACGGGCTCTTGGAATGGCTTCTATTCTCGATTCCTTCAATCCTCCAGGCTATTCGGTGCTTTGTCGAATGCTTGAGAGGGTTCCGGTGCTGCATTTATTGTCTGACCGTTGTCGGAATTTTGAATTTGAAGTCGATTCTTGATTTCCTGGCTTTTTAGCTCGAATTAGTTGCTTCAACATGGAATTGACCATCGGTTGACGGCTTTGAATCTTCATTGTGACGCGTTGTCCGGCGTTTAACACAGTTTATACTCGTAAGTATTTTGGAGTCTACACAGTTTAAGCTCTTAAGGAGTTGGAGCGGGGAGGTCTAGTTTATACTCATACACTCCTGGGAGTTATGTTGAGTTATCCTTAAGAATATTTTTAGAAAAATATTCTCCAGAAACTTCTCAACAAAGAGGAGGGAATAGTTTATACTCGTATACCTTATTGGAGTATTCTTTAGGTTCGAATAATCTGAACCGGCCCAAAAAAAGTGCCAAAAAGGCAGTATTTGGGTTCAAAAATCTCTCCGACCCTTCCAAATATATGGTAGAGGGGTTAAATAGGTGAAGGACTGAACCGTAGGTTGATCAAAAGTCGTTTCAATGCTTAATTCAGCTCCAATTTGAATTCTGGTTCAAATTTGGTTCAAACTGGTTCAATTTGGCTCAAACTGGCTCATTCTGGTTCGACTTGGTCTGGTTTAGCCCGGTCTGGTCTGGTTCAGCCAGATCTGGTTCAAGGCTATAAAAGGGGTTCTTTTTTTTTTTCTTTTTCTTTTTTCTTCCTCTCTTTCTAGGGCCGGCCATCCCCTCCCTCTTTTCTCTTGATTTCTCTTCCCTCGAGCATCCATTCTCTTTCAAACCTTGATATTTGTCTTAAATCTGGCTTTCCTTTGAATCTTGGACTGAGAAATCTCCCAAAAATTCCAAATAAAAAGTTTCTCTCAGGCCCCTCGAGCGTGTGGTTCAAGTTTCCTTAAAGGTCTCGCCTTTATTGAATTTTGGGCTTTTCTTCAGGTAAATCCTCCGCAATCTTGATCTATTTCATGTTTGATCTAGTGTATGGAGTCGCGGGATCGCATATAAGAGTTGAGGGTGTGATTTGATGCCTCAAACTCGCCTTTTTAGGGGTGAAAATGGGATTTTTCCTTTTCTAGATCTGATCCCTCAATTTACCTTGCAGGTTTCTATGTCCCGTATGGCGAGGGGTCAATCCTCTACCGTGCCGACTGATGGCGCGCCTCCCTCTTATGCCGGTGAGCTACTTTTTCTGGAAATTTACAAATTAGTCCATTTTTTCTTGGAAACTTGCAAATTGGTCATTTTTCTTTTTTTACTCCCCGTTGTTCTCCTTGGTGAGGCAACCGGGAAAAGCCTTGATTCTCCTTGGTGAGGATCGACGCTTCAAAGATATGTTTTGCTTGGTCAAAACACTATCTCATAATAAATAAAGGGGGCGTTTTGTCACTGCGCTGTGCCTTATAAGGCAGGGATATATTATCGATATACCCTATCTTATGAAGGCGCAACGTGGCCAAAACGTCACACCCTTTATAAGGCAATGACTCTATCTTACCCCTTCGTAAGATGAGTTCAATTTCCTTTTATAACTGGAATTAACAAACGTTTAATTGCTTGTTCTCAGTTGAATACCCTTCTGGAGCGTTCTCATCTCACGCAGTATACGGGCGTCGTGGCGAGTATTATTCGACCTCCGACGATATTTCCCCTATCCCAGTCACTCCT